GAGCGACGAAGGTGAGCCGCGCGAACGTTTCATTAATTGAAAGCGGAGGGAGATCCTAAGTCGCTTTAGCTCCGACCGGCGAGGAGAAAGACGGCGTAACAGCGATTTGGGGCGACCCTACGCCAGAATTAATCCAGGTGAGCCGAACTTGGATTGGGGCGCCGGCTAAGCCTGGCTTCTTGGTGACTTAACCGGCCACATGACCTCCGTGCTTCGTCTTACCTCTGATGCGGATGCCACCATTACGCGGTGTAACCCTCTTAAAGACGATCTTTCCTAACCCCACCAAAGTTGCTTGATAAACTATTCCTTAATTAAATTTAAATTAACTGAAATAAAATTTAAATTAATTGAAAAACTGAATCATTATTTAAACATTAACAAATTGTAACTTTTTAAAGATTTGTCAAATTATTATTAATCGTCTTTTTATATTCCCTTTTCGGGATATTTAGTAACAAGATCTTCGAGCGATAATTCAACAACTTGAAAAATTTATTATCCGAAAACAATTTTGGAAAAAGAAGCCACCATATCGCGCATTAAAATAAGAAAATATTAAATTGACTGTGCTATTTAATGATTTAAAATTATGCTTTGAAACAATAATAAAATAAGTTAATGTCAAAATATCGTACTGCTAAATGCATTTGGTTTTCGAAAAATTTCGGAGAAATATTCAGAGGTCTTGTGGAGACATGAACGATCGATCAAAGTTTACAAGCCAAGTTTCCGGTGTTTCCTGACAGATAGAAAAAGTTTCGAAGCAACATTTCGAATTCGGACGATTGAGATTCCTCTTTTTTCTGAAGAATTCCCATATCCGCACGTCGGGAAGGATATTTTTCCCAAATAATCCGAGTGGTTAGATTCTGTCCCTGACCCTACTGCAAGTACGATTAGTGATCTAAACTTCGATGAACTTGGGATTCGGAAATCCGCTGGGGATATGCGATCTCCTCTCTCTCTCTCCCTCCCTCCCTCCCTTTCTCTACGAGAATCCCGTTAGTCCTTTCTCAGGGATCGACGATATAAGGACCGGTTTATCTTTACTACCCCGGCACCAGACGTTTCCCCGCGTGGAACTCGATTAAACTTCCATTGCAACTTTTACGAGACAGTATCGGAGGCTTAGGGTTGTATACGATCGCTAACTGTACCTATTTCCCATCGGGCGCAAGTTTCATACTTGCGGAGAAGTAATAATAAATTGAAAAATTATCCATCGATCTAAAGACCGCTGCAACTAAGGCGCACGCTGATAAAACCGCTAATAACAAACGTGAAACGCTTTGTGAATCAGAAATCATAACATTTCGCATTCTCGATGTTTTGCACAGACGCCAAAAAATATTTAAGCAATAAACGCAGTGAAATAAAATGCTTGACGCTTGAGGTGTATAAGAAAATGGCACTTTGTAGTCGTACAAAGCAGAAATAAATAAAATATTTAAAAGCTTAAGTCGTCAAGATAGCACGCATCATAAATCTTCCTCCCTTAAATTGTCAAAAGCTTTACTGCAGCTCATCCACAGTGGTGGATGAATTTATGAGAGTTTCTTAAGCTCGTTTGCAATAGGACTCTCCGTGTCACTTATGCGTGCTCACACGTGACACGCTCGTCGTACGTGCTAGTGATACTACCATAAATCTTCCTTTACAGTCTGGTCGAAGCTGTGAGTAATTACACGAAAAATGGAAACGACAGTGTGTCAAGTGTGATACTTACATGATATGATTCCCGTAAAGCGGTATAAATTTTCTACCAGATGGCCTTTGCGCTCATCGTCGACAAGCGTAAGAAGTCATGCTAGAGGTTCCGCAGAGATGAACATGCAATAACATAAAAATTTTACAATAATGAAAATTTCGCATTTTTCTTCCGCAAGTCGTTCTTCCATTTTTGCCCGGTGACTTTTTAATTTTTTTAGTGCGCGGAACTCATTTAACCTAGTTGTGTACGACTACTTTGCCGTCATATAAATATAATATACATACGTCTTAAGCAGTGCGGTGCTATTTAGCACATGGAGGAAGTAAGATTAAAAGCTTGTAAATTTTTTTACGTACAAACAAGGCGCATCCACTTTCATAAAAATATCCCAATGTAAATTTCGCGCAAGAAAATATTTTTCTGAAAACGCGACGTGTATAATCGCGCAAAATTACATTAATAGCATAATGAGCACTTTATTTCGGGCAAAATTACACTCTCTGAAAAAAATTCTTTTTAAAAGCAAACTCAGCTATCTTGTTACCCCCGTTGACACAATTCCTGATGCGAATTCTTGGCGTCTGTACACTTTCGGGCGATCGCTCGTAAGCGAGATCGATATGCGACGCGTGTCGGTGCGTTGCGCGAACGGCGATCTCGAGATTCCCACTCGAATATGTCGAGATCCTTCACGTGCGTTTATGAGTTTCTTAAGCTCGCTCGCTCACTCCGTAGCTGACGACGCTCTCCAGCACCACCGCCGTCGCCGCGCGGAGATCCCGGAGTGGAGAAGCTCATTTACGATCCAACACCGTGGCCCGGCGTAATGCCGCGCGTGGCGCACAACGTTCCTTGGGTTATGGGGCCGGTCATGGTTGGCGGGTACCTAGGCTGCCGGCTGATTAAACCCGGGGTTTTACGGGCATTACCGCGTACCACGTACCAGCAAAATACCTCACGCTATAACGCGCGCACACGTGCGCTTTAATGCATTTACACGCATAAATATGCCTGTGTATTAGGCGCGAGCCACGTCGCACAAATGAGACGTCGTCCGATTGTCCCAATTTTTTTCCAGAATTACATATCTCGAATTGTTACACCGATTAATTTCGCGCTTTTGATAATGGAAAAATGTAAAAATATAAAATATTACGTATACGAGATGAAATTAAAATTGCATGAAAACGATAAAATGGTGAAAAATATTTTATAGAGATTTCACAGAGAGAGAGAGAGAGAGAGAGAGAGAGAGAGAGAGAGAGAGAGAGAGAGAGAGAGAGAGAGAGAGAGTAGAGTAGTAGTAGTAGTAAGTAAGTA